TTTTTCCTTCATTTCAACTTTGGTGAATCTGACAATTATGTGTCTTGCAGTTGCTTTTCTCAAGGAGTATCTTTGTGGCATTCTCTGTATTTCCTGAATTTGAATGTTGGCCTGCCTTACTAGATTGGGGAAGTTCTCCTGGATGATATCCTGCAGTGTATTTTCCAACTTGGTTCCGTTTTCCCTGTCACTTTCAGGCACACCAATCAGACGTAGATTTGATCTTTTCACATAATCCCCTATTTTTGGAGGCTTTGTTCATTTTTTTTTACTCTTTTTTCTTTATACTTCTCTTCTCACTTCATTTCATTCATTTGATCTTCAATCACTGATACTCTTTCTTCCAGTTGATAGAGTAGGTTACTGAAGTTGTGCATTTGTCACATAGTTCTCGTGTCATGGTTTTCAACTCTGTGAGTTCTTTTATGGTCCTCTCTGCATTGATTATTCTGGTTATCCATTCATCCATTCTTTTTTTAGGGTTTTAGGTTCTTTGTGCTGGGTACATAGTTCCTCCTTTAGCTCTTAGAATTTTGATCGACTGAAGCCTTCTTCTCTCAACTCGTCAAAGTCATTCTCCATCCAGCTTTGTTCCATTGCTGGCGATGAGCTGCGTTCCTTTGGAGAGGGAGATGTGCTCTGATTTTTTGAATTTCCAGCTTTTCTGCACTGCTTTTTCCCCATCTTTGTGGTTTTATCTGTTGTCTTTGATGATGGTGACGTACTGATGGGGTTTTGGTGTGAGTGTCCTTTCTGTTTGTTGGTTTTCCTTCTAACAGTCAGGACCCTCAATTGCAGGTCTTTTGGAGTTTGCTTGAGGTCCACTCCGGACCCTGTTTACCTGGGTATCAGCAGTAGAGGCTGCAGAAGATAGAATATTGCTGAACAGCAAGTGTTGCTGTCTGTTTCTTGCTCTGGAAGCTTTGTCTCAGAGGTATACCCAGCTGTGTGATGTGTGGTGTTGGTCTCCACCTACTGGGGGATGTCTCCCAGTTAGGCTACTTGGGTCAGGGACCCACTGACTGTCCATTCTGGGAGAACCACTGCTCTCTTCCCAGCTGTCAGACAGGGACATTTACATCTGCAGAGGTTTCTGCTGCTTTTTGTTTAGCTATGTCCTGTCCCCAGAGGTGGAGTCAACAGAGGCAGGCAGGCCTCCTTGAGCTGCGGTGGGCTCCACCCAATTCGAGCTTCCCTATGGCTTTGTTTACCTACTTAAGCCTCAGCAATGGTGGGCGCCCCTCCCCCAGCCTCGCTGCCGCCTTGCAGTTAGATCTCAGACTGCTGTGCTAGCATTGAGGGAGTCTCCGTGGGCGTGGGACCCTCTGGGCCAGGCATAGGATATAATCTCCTGGTGTGCCATTTGCTAAGACCCTAGTAAAGTGCAGTATTAGGGTGGGAGTTACCCGATTTTCCAGGTGTTGTGTGTCTCAGTTTCCCTTGGCTAGGAAAAGGAATTCCCTTACCCCTTGCACTTCCCAGGTGAGGCGATGCCTCACCCTGCTTCACCTCTCGCTGGTCGGGCTGCACCCTCTGACCAGCACTGACTGTCCGACATGCCCCAGTGAGATGAACCCAGTGCCTCAGTTGAAAATGCAGAAGTCACCCGTCTTCTGTGTCGCTCACGCTGAGAGCTGCAGGCTGGAGCTGTTCCTATTCGGCCATCTTCGGTGCCCCTCACAATATTCTTAAATAGACTAATTATAAATTATCTATTTTTAAATAGAATATAAGTAAAAATGGGGCTAATTAGATGTATATTGTAATGAAAATTTTAGATTGTGTTTGTGCTTTTTTTTATTTAATGGAATATTTCATGGTTTAACTTGCAATGAGAGTTAAAAAAAAGTTTACTTTGTATACCAAACTGATATTTTTGACCAAAGATTAACATTAAAAAGCAAAATTAAAGAAAATACAAATAAAATCTCATTTTTCCCAAAAAAAGTATATATTTCAAGATATCAAAATCAGATTGAAAATATTTTTAAGTTTTTAAATAAATACATTAATTTAAAATGTTAAATGTATAAAATCTAGTTCTCCTTTTAAGATATGTAGTGTTGGTATGTATACATGTATTTTCGTATACCTACAACTAACTCAATTAACTGATATCAGAGGAAACAAAGCTTTGAATTTTTCAGGTGAAAGGAATTACTAATATTTGTAGATGGATATATCCCTATTTATGATATATCAATAAATGTGTAAGCATTTTCACAAATGGAAATATTTATATTAACTTTGCAAATCATATGCCACTTAGATACCTAATATGAACAGGATTTTGAACACCAGCAAACCATCTTACCTTAGGAGATGAAATCATCATAAAAGCCAACACTTACCAAGCCCTCACTATTATATGCTGGACACTCTCAGTGCTTACCAAGATGAAAGTCATTTGATCCTCAATTATATCAACCCTTTGAAATTGCTACTGTTACCATCCCCATCTTACCCACGAGGCAAGAGAAATTTAAATTGAGGGATTAGTTGACACAGGGTCCTAAAGCTGGTGGCACAGTCTAACCCAAATATGCTCTTAACTGACACTAGACTGCCTCTCAGGTGCTGTTTTGTTGCATGCTCATAGGCTGGAAAACAGTTCAACAAAGAATTCAGTGTTTGTGTGTTTTGCAACGATGTCTTCACCATAATAGTTTTTAAAAGCATGTATATAGACAGGCACATATAATAAGCTGTCATTTCTGTGGACCCTAATGTGTTTCTTTCATTATATAATATGCCATTGTTTTTTAGATTAAATCCAGTCCTTTATGAAGACTTCATTAAATGTTATCTAGTCCTCCTTGCTTTCCAATTAAAAGAAATTATTTTAAAGTAGATTAAACTTTATTTGGACCAGGAGATTGGGGTGGAGTAGAGCTTTAGGCAGAGTCAGGGGCTTAGGAAGCTGAATGTTTATTGCAAAATGTTTACACACTCATGTGCATATAAGTAATTTTTCAATCAGTACAGTGTAGAAGCACTATCATATGAAGGAGTCTGGAGAAAAGAACAGGAGAGCTTTGTGCTCAAGAGGACTGGTTATTACTAATTGAAAGTCTGAAGACATATATATGTGTGTGTGTGTGTATATATATATATATATATATTTTTTTTTTTTTTTTTTTTTGAGGTAGTGTCTCACTCTTCACTCAGGCTGGAGGGCAGTGGCGCAATCCTGGCTCACTGCAACCATCTGCCTCCTGGGTTCAAGCAGTTCTCCCACTTCAGCCTCCTGAGTAGCTAGGACCACAGGTGTGTACCACCATGCCCGGCTAATTTTTATATTTTTTTAGTAGAGACAGGGTGTCACCCTGTTGGCCATGGCTGGTCTGGAACTCCTGACCTCGAGTGATCCACCTGCCTTGGCCTCCCAAAGTGCTGGGATTACAGGCATGAGCCATCATACCCAGCCCTGAAGATATATTTCTAATGAATGTAAGAGGATTTCTGTAAATAAACTAATAGGTAATTAGACAATATACTTTAAGATTTTTTTATCAGATAATCTAGAGATGTAAAATTTGAAATTAATTTGTGCTGTGCATTTGATTCAATCTGGAGACATGCTATAAATATCTCTGAAATCTTGACAAGTGTAGCATAATCTAAGTTTATGCATTAAATTGCTTTATTTTACATGTATTTGTGACCTTATATATGTTTCAAAATTTTTACTGTTTTATTTTTATAGATTTAGGGGGTAGAAGTGCAGATTTCTTACAGGCATATATTGCATAGTGGTAAAGTCTGGCCTTTTAGGGTAGCCACTACGCAAATAATGAACGCTGTACCTGGTAGGTAATTTTTTAGCCCTCACTGCCTCCCACCCTGCCACCTTTTATAGTCTCCAGTGTCTGTTATTCCAGTCTGTATATACATATGTACTCATTGTTTAGCTCCCACTTATAGGTGAGAACATGTGGAGTTTTACTTTCTGTTTCTCAGTTATTTCACTTGGGATAATGGCCTCCAGTTCCGTCCACGTTGCTTGAAAACATGCTTTTATTCTCTTCTATGGATGAATAGTGTGTGTTTGTTTGTGTGTGTGTGTGTGTGTCTTTTTGATACTATTTATTTTCCTTTCAATCCTAGTAGTGGAATTGCTGGATGAAATGGTTCTCTTTTTAGGTCTTGAGAAATGTCCATACTGTTTTCCATAATGATTTTACTAATTTATACTCCCACCGACAGTATACAAGTGTTCCCTTTTCTCCACATCCTCACTAACATCTGCTGTTTATTAACTTTCTAATAACCCTTATGACTGGTGTAAGATGGTACCTCATTGTGGTTTTAATTTGCATTTATTTGGTGATTAGTGATGTTGAACATTTTTTCATATTTTTTGGCCACTTGTATGTCTTTTGAAAAATGTGTGTTCATGTCCTTTGCCCACTTTTTAATGGGATTATTTAAGTCCCGTTTGTTTATTTTTGGTTTTGTTGCATTTGCTTTTGGGGACTTGGTCATAAATTCTTTCCTGGGCCAGTGTTCAGAAGAGTTTTTCTTAGAAATTTTTCTAGGATTTTTATAGTTTCAGGTCTTAGATCTTTAATGCATCTTGAGTTTATTTTTGTATAAGGTGAGAGATATGAGTTCAGTTTCATTCTTTTGCACATGACAGTCCATTTTTCCCAGCACCGTTTATTGAATAGGGTGTCCTTTCCCTAGTGTATATTTTTGTTGACTTTGTCCAAGATCAGTTGATTGTAGGCATGCGGCTTAATTTCTGGGTTCTGTATTCTGTTACATTGATCTATGTGTCTATTTTTATCAGTACCATGCTGTTTCGGCTGCTATAGCCTTGTAGTACAATTTGAAGTCAGGTAATGTGATACCTCCAGCTTTGTTCTTTTTGCTTAGGACTGCTTTGGCTGTTCGGCGTCTTTTTTGGTTCCATATGAATTATAGGGTTGGTTTTTCTAATTCTGTAAAAAATGACTTTGGTAATTTGATAGGAATTGAATTGAATTTGTAGACAGCTTTAGGCAGTATGGTCTTTTTAACTATACTGATCCTTCCAGTCTATGCACGTGGGATGTTTTTCCATTTGTTTGTGTCACAGTTTTCTTTATCAGTGTTTTGTAGTTCTCCTGGTACACATCCTTCACCTTCTTGGTTAAATGTATTCCTAGGTAGTTCTTGACTTGGTCCTCAGCGAGGTTGTTTTTGGTATATAGAAATGCTACTGATTTCTGTAGATTGTGTCCTGAAACTTTACTGAATTCATTTATTAAATCTAAGAGTTTTTTGGTGGAAAATATGTCTTAATAGGTTAAGGAAATGGAAGGGATTCTGAAGAGAAGATATCCCAATTCTTTACCTGCTTTAATATTGGCTGCATCAGCAGCTGGTGATACAGTGGATAAAAATACAGTAGAATTTATGGAGAAAAGGATAAAAAAGCTAGAAGCTGATCTGGAGGGCAAAGATGAAGAAGCAAAGAAAAGCCTTCGTACCATGGAACAGCAGTTTCAGAAAATGAAGGTAAGTGCTAAGTAGCCTCAGAGATAAATTAAGGTCAGAGATGGACAGTGGGGGCTGGCATTTCTTAGGATCTCACTTTAACAAATAGCTATAAACATTCTTTCCCATGAAACCTTTACCACTGGTATCAATAGGTGCAAAAGAAACCAAGTCCATCCTATTTTGGTGTCCTCTTTCAGCAACTTTTCTTTTTATTTCTGACAGAATAATCAAGCACAAGATAATCTTTACATCACCTCTCTCAATATGAGAATTAGTGGAAATTAAGTCATGAAAAAGCAGAATAAAACACACCTGATATGTATTCAGTACAAAAGGAAAAAAGAAATTACCATGTTTGAAAATATTTTCACTGAAATTTATCTAGAGAAGGGTAAGGGAATAAGACAGAAGTATGCACTTTAGGAACAGCGGGTAGGGAGCATCTTCCAGAAATGTCTTACTTTCTGAGTTTTCCATTATTTTGTGAAACAGGAATGAATCAGAAAATACAAATGCTAGAACAGACCAAGTATGAAAGAGGACATATTTAATTTACTTTAAAAAAACATTTTGTAGACCAATAACAGTTATAGATTATTTTTAAAAATTTGTTGAGCACATGGTTTCTGTCAGGAATTCATGCTAGATACTTTCATAAATATCTCTGTTCATCTCGCATAATCCTTCCAAACACCTGTGAGGAGTAGATATTGTTAACACTATATTGCAGATGAGGGAGCTGAGATGTTCTAGGAAGTTCATCTCAATTCTCCACAGATTTATATCCTGAGAAAAGCGACAAATGAAAGAACATTAGATTCCAGAAACAGTAGAAGATTGATAACCGGGAAATAATACAGTGGCCTGGTAATTAAGGTCACATCAAGGAGGTTGGGTTTCTTCCATTCCACCCTCTTTTACACATAGATAGATAGACGGATGGATGGATAGGTAGGTAGGTAGGTAGGTAGGTAGATAGATAGATAGATAGATAGATAGATAGATAGAGATAGAGAGATAGCTATAGAGATATAGAGATACAGATCCCTGATAACATGCTGGTATCAATTACCAGCATGGAGTCTAGCAAACAATTAATAACAGATCCCTGATAACATGCTGGTATCAATTACCAGCATGGAGTCTAGCAAACAATTAATGATTGTAATTATTATTAGTGTTCCACCAACCAAATAAGACTCTCAGGTATAAACTCCAACCCCCTACTCCACTTTTATATATCCAAATCTAAACACTCTTTCTTTTTGCAGCCGCCTGCCCCATCCCACTCCTGCCTTTGCTCACTACTTGCCTCTTCCCCCTTTCGTTTCTGATTCCCTGTATATACCAAGCATTCGACCAGCTTTGCATATGCTCTTCCTACTTCCAAAACATCCCTGAGTCCACCTAACTCCAAATTAACACTCATCTCTCAAGACCGAACATAAATGTGCTGTCTCTGTGTAGTCTTCCCACCTTCTGTCAAGCCTCCAGACACTTGGGCAGCCTCGCCTCCTCTACACTCACTCCACTATGTTCACAGGCCCATTATTGCACTTATGGGACATTGTAGCTGCTGCCATGTTGCTCTCCTCACCAAGCTGTGAGCTATTTGAAAATAAGAACTGAGTCTTTTTGTTGCTAGAACCTGCATATTGCCTGGCATAAGGTCATAGCTCGGTAAATATCCGTTGAATGAATGAGCAAACCCTGCTGGTGCCTCCCTCTGTAGGAGAAATTATTTATTTCATTTGCTGAACACTAAACAAAATATTAAAGCTCCAGTATACAAATTCCAGGCCATTTTACTCTCTATGAAATTAATAAATTGATGTTAGAAAGTTGAAAATGTGCTGCTTCCCAAAGACTTCAGTGTCCCCAGTTGTTTTACTGTTTATCCTCAAAGAGTGTGCTGACAGTTTGCATGGAAAAGGCTGCATAATAATAGGTTTTGTTGTGAGGTTTAAAATAAATTTTGCAGTGTGTAAGAACATAGGTAAGTTAATGTTTATGAAGCAACATATCAGTTATTAAATTACATAACATATGTCAAGAATACATAATGTTATGCCCTGAAAGAATAGGACTTCTATACATTTGACTCACTCAAGAAACAGAATTGTAGACATCAGAATGTATGATGAGTACCTGAATAAAGGATTAGGTAGAACCCAGTAGTGTGCAGGGCTTCAGCAACTAATGAAACGTTTAACAGGTGTTTGGTGTTACATGGATTCTTTCCTTCAGATTCAGTATGAACAAAGACTAGAGCAGCAGGAGCAGCTACTTGCCTGCAAATTGAATCAACATGACTCTCCCAGAATTAAAGCACTAGAGAAGGAACTTGATGACATTAAGGAAGCCCATCAGATCACTGTAAGAAACCTTGAAGCCGAAATAGACATTCTTAAACATCAGAATGCTGAATTAGACGTCAAGAAAAATGATAAAGATGATAAAGATTTTCAGTCTATAGAATTCCAGGTGGAACAGGCTCATGCTAAAGCTAAATTAGTAAGACTCAATGAAGAACTGGCTGCAAAAAAGAGAGAAATACAAGACCTTTCAAAAACTGTGGAGAGGCTTCAGAAAGAAAGAAGAATGATGCTATCAAATCAGAACTCTAAGGGCAGAGAGGAAATGTCTGCCAAAAGGGCAAAGAAAGATGTGTTGCACTCAAGTAAAGGGAATGCTAACTCCTTCTCTGGAACCCTGGACAGCAAGCTTTACCAACCACATACTTTCACTGATTCCCATGTTTCAGAAGTTTTGCAAGAAAACTACAGATTAAAAAATGAGCTAGAGGGATTAATTTCAGAGAAGAATGAGCTGAAGGTGAAATCTGAAGCAGCAATCAATCAATTTGAAAACTCCATGAGAAGGTAAAATGTTAAATTATAAATATTTGTAAAAATAAAAAGATAAAAATTGAAAAATTATAAGATATATTTCCTCCAGATAATTAGTTTGACCCAGAACTGAATTCATAAGTGAATATTAATAAATTATATTACATTGCTGAGCATATATCTGTTTCAGGATAGGGTCTTCTACCTGCTGGTGGCCCAAATTCTGATGTACCTGAACCTCTGTGTCAACCCAAATTGTGTCCTTGGGCTCGCCAGTCTTGCCTTTTGGTGTGTACCCATATGATATTAATAAGCTGACTCACTGGGCTCTTCTAGCAAAGGAATGTCATAGTTCATTATTGCTATAGGCAGATTGCTTTCAGAAAACAGTTATTGTTAAAGCTAGTTGGCAGTCTAAAAGGAAAAGGTCCTCTTTTCAAAAATCACTTTTCAAATTGACCTAGTGATCACATCCATTCATGCCTTAAGGAACTTTATACTCATCCATTTCCTTCTCACAATCTCCATTTGCTATCCACTGTCTCTTTCCTCTGAGTCTTTTGACATCCTCAGATCTTTTTTTCACCTGATCAAATTCCAGTCCCGTATTTCAGTACCCGTTTTTCACAAGTAGTCTTTTATTTCTGTCTCACTTCCTCTTAAATATGGCTTTCATCATCACCCCTTTTAAACCTGGTCTCAATAATGACCTTTCCCAGGCCAGTGGCATTTTCTCCATCCTCATTTTCTTCAACAGTGTTGACCACACTACTTCTCCTGAAATGCCTTCCTCCCTTAACCTCTGTGACTTGGCAGTTCTGACCAAAACTCCTTTTCTGTTTCTTTTTCTGAATTCTGACCCTTCTTCCTTCTCCAGCCCCAAAAATCTGGCTTTCTACCAGCATTGAGCTCTTGGTTTTCTGTTCATTCTCTGTTCTTTCTCCATTGCTAAACTTACCCATTCTTATGGTTTCTATGAACCATGACTTCTAGATTTACTTTTAAAGTTTGTTCTCTTTGCTGAGTTCAGATGTGAAACCTGGAACTATTTATTGGATTGCTTCTCTTGGAATCACCAATACCTCAACTTTCCTTTTTTTAGCTGTAAATTAGTTCCTCTTCCCAAGCTCCCCTTCCCTGTCTATATTTATTTTAATTACCAGGCCAGCTTTATCTCTGTTATTCCTTAGGTATAAATGTTTCCCGTTTTCCATTCTTCCTTACTTTAATAAACCAGTGCTGCCATTATACAATTTTCCCACTCCAATCTTCCTTCTTTTTTTTAACCTTCCCCAGTCATCTTGCTTAAAAATCATTCATATTCTTTAAATACTCATACACCTGGGTCATTCTGCTCTCCAGTGACTCCCAACTTCCTTAAATATCAAGACTAAATTTCTCTGCCTGGCATCTCAAGTCTCATCACTATTCTAATACTACTGTACTTACCTAATCTGTCACATTTCCTCATGCCTTTTGCTCATTCTTGTTATAAGTACTACCTTCACATAACATTTCATGGAACTTCCCAGGAAATTGCCTTCTCCTACCCCTAACTCCTACAAAACTTACTAATATGTACCAAGAAAGGATTAATCATACCCAGCCTTGTAGTTCCTTAAGAACTGCTGTAAGATTATGCTTCTTTGCATCCCCACAGCAGTGTGCTGTAGGAGCAGAAGGAGTATGGGAAACACCCAACAAATGCTTATTGACTGACAGCTATGGCAGTGAGTGAGTCATGTTGTTACCATATGGCAGTCATATTGCTACCAAATGGAAACTTTGTTTCTTAAGTCCTGAATATTATGACAGTAGCATGAAACTGTTTAATAAGAACCACATTCTTTCCAGGAAAGAATTTAAAATTCAGGTTTTCCTATGAATTTTCCTGTACATCATATAAAATTTGTTAATATTGTCAATCTGTTTCTTAGATAAGTCTGGACCTGAGAAGTGAAGAATAAACTTTTCTAGCCCCATATTTCGACTTTTTACTATCATTCAGTTATATGTGCTTTAATTTAGGTTTTTATTCTTTTCCTAGGACCCTAATCACACTGTTTCCATGGAGAAATATTCATATGGTGAAATAAGCAATGGTTAAATTTGTCTGTAGTTGGAAAGCACCATATTAATATAGCAGTTCTCTAAAATACATGCTTTAAGTTAAATCCTGTTATTTTCAAAGTCTTTCCAGTAAGAGAGAAAATGTTTATCTGTAGAAAGTGTATCAAATCTTTATTTATAATTTTAACCATTTACTGAACTGCCTCTGAATAAATTTTATCACAGAGACAAATGAATAGTCTCTCACACTTACAGTCCAAATTACTTAATTGCATATTTCAAGCATAATATGTCCTGAGAATTACCATAAAGATTGTCTCATTCTCACAACATGCAACTAGCCCTGGAGTCTCATGCATGGATTGAAAATTGGTTAATGCTGCCTACAAGGCATTGAAGATTCTAAAGGGAACAGCTGTGATTTTCCAGTGAAGCATCTGGGCAAGAAATCTGAGTTTATCTTAAAAGATCAAATGTCAAGTGCTTTACTTTAAATTCAGACAGTTATTTTGGAACCCTAGGTTCCCTCAGAAGGTATAGCCTCAGGTTGGGGATAAAGTGGAGATATATCACTATTTCCTCAAGTTTGCCCTTATAAAATTCAGTTAATAATAGCTCATGGATTGGTCCTAAGAACTCATAGGCAGTAATGTATAAAGCACCTAACACAGTACAGTTAATATTGGTGCCCATTTTCCCTTTTCTTAATTTCCAGGTTTCTTACACTGTTTTTGTGCTAAGTCTGAATTAGAGGTTGAAGAGCCGCTTTTATGTGTGGTTTTCTTTCATTTGCTCTGTAGGGTCAAGGAAGATACTGCAGCATACATTGCATCCCTCAAAGCATCTCATCAGAGAGAAATAGAGAAACTCCTTTGCCAAAATGCAGTAGAAAATTCTTCTTCCAAAGTAACGGAACTAAATCGTAAAATAGCAACTCAAGAGGTAGATGACAAATCTGTTTTATCTTTTGACTTGAATAAATTTGTTTTGACTTTAATGAGATTAAAGTTAACATTGTTTTATTTGGAAATGTTTAAACTTTTTCATCTTGGTGATAGAAATGGGAAACTATTATTGGCCTGATTTCTTTTTTAAAGAAGAAAATATTATATATTTAATTTTTTTAAAGAAGATAATACTATGTATTTAATTTTTTACTTTAAAACTATACCATATAAATGTTTTTTACAGTTTTGTCCCTATACTTCTCAAATAAGTCTTTCTCTAAATTTGTTGTCACAGGTAGTGAGATATATGTCTAACATGATTAGGACCGTAGTACTTGAACTTGGATGTTGAACTGAGTCTCTAAGTCCCAGCTGACAGTTATCCTTAGACATTCTTCCTGCCCCATGATCTTTTATTTATTGAACAAATGATTCATATCAATAGACAATCAGGCACTGGAATAAAATAATGAACAGAGAGATACACAGCTCTCGCTCTGATGGAGCATAGTCTTCTAAGAATTATTAAAGGGAATGCTGCCAACTCATCAGCATTTCCTCAAATAAATGTGTGTTTCTTTTTGAATAATAGGTATATCTACTTAGAATCCTATGAGCGTTACCCTGTGGCCTGTCTTCTGTACTGTTTGTCTCTTATAAAAATAGCGTTAAAATAGGACTTTTATCTACAATCTACTTTCAAATGGTATATCCAAGAAAATGAAAAGGTGGCAAATCAGCCACCTTTTGGGTTATCAAGTTGAAAAATATATGAATGTTTATTGTGTTCATCTTGTCTGTAGGTTTCAATTTTAAGAAGGAAGCTCAGGGAGAAAAACATCAAGAAAGAATTATCTCACCAAGTATAATTATTTAATACCATCTTAATTAAAAATAAATTCCTCAATTGGGGAAGTTTGAATATGGACTGGCTATTGATACTAAGAAATTACTATAAATTTTCATAGGTATAAAATGTTATGGTTTTGTGAGAAATGCCCTTATTCTAAAGAGATGTATGTTGAAGCATTTGAAGGTTTTGTTTGAGATAGTCTCTTTGTGTCACCCAGGCTGTCTTAGCTCACTGCAACCTCTGCCTCCTAGGTTCAAGCGATTCTCCTGCCTCAGCCTTCCAAGTAGCTGGGATTACAGGTGTGCACCACCATGCCTGGCTAATTTTTATATTTTTGGTAGAGATGGGGTTTCACCATGTTGGCCAGGGTGGTCTCAAACTTCTGACCTCAAGTGATCTGCCCACTTTGGCCTCCCAAAGTGACATTTGAAGTATTTAGGGGCAAAATGTAATGAAGTCTGTAACTGAACTTCAGATCACTGAGAAAAAAAAAGGACTGTTTGACTACATTAATGAAAAATACTTAAAGTGCCTTTCGAAAGTAACAATCCATACAGCCTTACAGAGAACCTCTCTGGCCTTACCCTCCATAGGAATAGGGTGTCAGAAGGCAACTGTAAGCATTCTATCAAGTGATTTTGTAGTAAGGAATAGTCTGGGAAAGGTGGGAAAGGTAGTATTATGATGCCGTAGTGCCATAAATGTTATTTTCCCAGAGTTATAAAAGTAATATTGTAAAATTGAGTTAAAGAGAAGTCAGCATAGTCTGATCATTAAAAGTACAGCATTAGAGATAAGATAAATTTTTCACAATTTCTCTTAGTTTCTTAATGAAAGTATCTGTACATGTATTTCAGTTTACCTAAAAATATGAGACTGACATTATTTCACAGATATTATGAGGCTTGTGTTATATTTAATCAATAGTTCTTAAATAAAAACTATCACACTTAACTACAGAGTATAAAGATAGTGTTGTCTACCTTTTTCCAAATGTGTAGACTTTCTAGAGCTTTATTTTAAAAGGACTTTTTCTAGTCATGAAAAATGTTCATGTTTATTTTCCCCCCTTTTATTGATACATAATGATTTAGATATTTATGGGATACATGTGAATGTTTGCTACACGCAAAGAATGTGTAATAATCAAGTCAGGGTAACTGGGATTTCTGTCACCTTGAGCATTCATTTTTATGTCTTGGTATCACTTCAAACCCTCTCTTCTAGTTACCTTGAAATACACATAATATTGTTGCTAAGTATAGTCACTGTGGTCTGCTATTAAACATTAGAACTTATTTCATCTATCTAACTGTATGTTTGTACCCATAACCAACCTCTCTTCATCCTTCCCAACCCCCCACTCCCATCTCTGATATCTATTGTTCTATTCTCTGTGTTCATGAGATCAAGTTTTTTAGCTCTCATATGTGAGTGAGAACATGCAGTATTTTTCTGTGCCTAGCTTACTTAACATAATGACCTTCAATTCCATCCATTTTGCTACATATGACATTATTTCCTTCTTATTTAAGGCTGAATTGTATTCCATTGGGTATATATGCCACATTTCTTTTCGTCTGTTGATGGGAACTTAGGTTGATTCCATATCTTTACTATTGTGAACAGTGCTGCAATAAACATGCAAGTGCCAGGTGTCCCTTTGATATACAAATTTCTTTTCCTTTGGATAGATACCCAGTAGTGGGATTGCTGGATAATACAGTAATTTTGGTTTTGGTTTTTTGAGAACTCTCTATAATTTTTTTCCATAGTAGTTGTACTAACTTACATTCCCACCAACAGTATATAAGTTTCCTTTTGTGAGTTGGCTTTCTTATATTTTTCAGATAGTGTTCAAGGAGGAGCTTTATTAACTCAGCACTTCTAACAATTTCCTAGGTACTTATAAGACATTTCCAAAGTCAAGTTAATGAGCTGCAGAGTAAACAAGAGTCTCTTGTAGTTTCTCAAGTTCGAGAAGAAATTCTACAGAAAGAGGTAAGAAATAGCCAAAATATTGGGCTAAAATAAGTTTCAAGTTCGCGAAGAAATTCTACAGAAAGAGGTAAGAAATAGCCAAAATATTGGGCTAAAATAAGTTTCTTAGGCATTTCAATCATACTCGTATTTATAAATTTTTTACCTAAATGTACAAATAGACATAACCTGAAAGTATCACGTGTCAAGAAAATACTAGTAGCATGCTTATGTAAAATCTGCTTTCCCGAGATGAAGTTCAGATATTAAGTCATTAAGTTGTCTGCGTTTTATTTGCTGTTGAGATTTTGTGGATAGTGGGGAAAATGGGATGGGAGATGTTTGGGTGTTCTGTTTGTTTTCTTCAGGAGACAATTGAATAGTGAAGGCCGTTTCTGTGTTAAGTACTGTCAAGGAGGAAAAATAATTTTTTACTCAACCCTCATGAGTTTTTAGTTGAGACAGACCCCATAAAAAAAGACAGATTAATAAGAGAAAAACAAGTTTATTAACACGTGCAGCACAGGATGCGGGAGAAACTGCAACACAAAGTAATTCAAAATGGTGGCTTAGGATTCTCCGAGTTGGTAGCTTTGAAGAGATTTGGATTAGAGATTGTGAGATCAGAGATTGGCAAAGGAAGAGAAAAACATCGATTGGAACAAGTGCAACTGAACAAATTTAAGTACATTGCCCCATATCAAATCATTGTCTTAGTGCTGAGAACAGGTCAATTCAATTAAGCAATTGTGTCTCATTTCAGGAGATATTGCAGGTGTGCTGTCATCAAAGTTAGGCCTCTGTATGGTGATTTAATAAGAGGCATTTCTGTGGAAACAAAAGAAAAACAAAAGTTAATGGTAGGAGTAGTCTATATACTAATTTCTGAATCCTAAGAGCAGCTAGTCAAGAGTTCTAGATGTTGATCTCAAAGCATTTTTTACAGTTTGAGTATCTAGTTATAAAGTGTGTGGCCCATGCAGCAATTGGCATGAAAATTGTCCATATATGAGCTGTTGTAGTGATTCTCTGCAGTTTATATCAAGTTATGCAGCTTCAGCTTATTAGGATTTTAGGAGAAGGGCAGTTAAATATTTTAGTGATTCCAAGCCAGGAGGGTAGGAGAAAAATTCAAAATACTAGTTTGGAGAATTATTGACAGAAATCTAGACTAGATTACATGTAAATAATAAAACCCCAGAGATAAAGAACAAGGCTAGAATCTGATATCTACAAGGGTGTGTTACAGTTTTCTAATGAAGCACAGTATTTTTCTCTCTGCAGTCACCCTGATTTCTATCAGAGATAATCACAATAAGACCAATTTGTTGGCAAAAATAAGTCTAGTCTCATTAAATTTGGCTTGGTTATTTGCATAAAAAGTGCAGCAAGAATAGTGATTAATCATATAGGCTCTCTTATAAGTCCGTTTTGCTGGAACTTGTCATAAGGATTCTCAGATTGGCCCTTTATTAGCCTCTCCAGGCTAGGAATGCATGCCAAAGGCTTGCCTCAGATTTTTGCCTCCGATACCGATAGATCCAGGTAAATTCCTTTATTTTCTAGAGATCCCCCAAATATTCTGAGGCCCCTGGGCTTTCCAGGAAGTGACATTTCTTACTCATCTGCAAGGAAACCGTGTATATAAGGTACCAAGCCAGTTTTTTCCAAGGGACTTTATTGGCATCAGAAAGTCAATGTATTTTTGAAACTGTCTGATTATATCTGATTCGATGCACATTCTGAAATATGATATTCCAGTGAAAGCCTTGGTAATGTAACTGATGTTTCCAGTTGTGTTAAAGAGAACAGATTCTTACTGAACTTATGCAAATACTTACATAGCTATGAAAATAAGAATACTCAACTAATGGTTTCTGGAGAGAGGGAAAAAAGATAAATATTTCAATTCTGTTTACAAAAGTATAATTTACCAAATTGCTGTAAGCTATGGATAGCTTAAGAGAAAAACTTCTCTTGCAGAATATTAAAGAATCAGCAGTGTTTTAAACAAAGTCCCTAAAAAGAATTCTTCATCAGTTTATTTAGTCCCATGTAATTAATTCTTGTTCTGCTTGATGTTGGGTTAGCACTTCTATGAACCAATCATTCTTTTCATTAGAATTCTGAAAAATTAGTACCCGGCCAAATGGTATAATCTTGAAGTTATCAGAAACCTGTACTTGTCAGAGTCCTTTCCATGAATCTTTCTGAAGATAAAACACTTCGTATTTATAGTTGCTTACAAAAGCTCTTAGGAAAGTAACAGAGTAAAACAATTAACTCTCTGTGGATGACAAGACTTTAAACTTGCCATGGTTAAACATCTGATGAGAGTTCATTATAATGCACTTGATATGGAAATTTAGTTATTTTTGTGACAATACAACAGTTTAAGATATTAACTAGAATTATTACTGATAACATCATACCAAGGCATACCAGATTTTTAGGAATTGTATACAACTTCTGGAACATTTGTTAATAATATATCCATACAAAAATAACTCAAAGAAAATTAAACATTGTCTTTGTCCGTGATTCCCATACAATTTATCATGTCAAATAAGCCTAATTCCTTTGAATTTATCTGGGAGAAAGAACAGATTCTTTTGAGATTTTCCAGGGCCCTCTGGAACATCCCAAAGCTAGTTTGAGGTCAAAAGAATTTAATATATAATTTGATTTGGGGAAGTTGTCAAAAATGTCAAGAAGTTTAAAACATTTGGTTAAATAGGATCACAGGTCGTTATGAAACAATACTTAGTTATCCAAAGTAGATTCTAAAGGCAAATACAGAAAATCGCATAGTGAGAAGACTCAGTTTCCCTAAGTAATCAAAGAACTGATAGAGACCATAGGAAACACAGGAAGTTATTTTACTGAAACACAAAATCTTTGCTTTCTACGTAAATTAACTTAAAAGTAAAGAAAATCTTTTATAATCTCTTATTAAGAGCAGACCAGTGCTCCAAGAAAGCTTTGTTGTTTTAAAAGAGAAAACCAGACCGGGCGCGGTGGCTCACGCCTGTAATCCCAGCACTTTGGGAGGCCGAGACGGGCGGATCACGAGGTCAGGAGATCAAGACCATCCTGGCTAACACGGTGAAACCCCGTCTCTACTAAAAAATACAAAAAACTAGCCGGGCGTGGTGGCGGGCGCCTATAGTCCCAGCTACTCGGGAGGCTGAGGCAGGAGAATGGCGTGAACCCGGGAGGCGGAGCTTGCAGTGAGCTGAGATCCGGCCACGGCACTCCAGCCTCGGCGACAGAGCGAGACTCCGTCTCAAAAAAAAAAAAAAAAGAGAAAACCAGTTTCTAGTTTTGTCCACTGTACTTCTGACATTAAGGCTCATTTTTAAAACCCTTATAATAAATACATTCTGTTTATCTTCTGCTCAGACACATAAGATATTCATGCATTCTAACTTTCTCCCTCTCCAAGCTTTCTATATTCATTCATTTTTTTGTTCTTCATTCTCCTTTTTCATTCTAAAACAGTCTGTCATTCTACTTTAGTACAGATTTAATTATTCTTTTTCCTTTAACAAAAACACATCTTCATTCCTCATAACTTTGCTTACCAAAACTACGTATTATTTTTCTTGTATATTTTGTATACAAAGTTGTTTCCCTAATCTTTAGTAGTTTTAAATATATGTACATTAGAACTTTTAATCCTTAGTAACATTAATTTCTTATGAAAACTACAAAGCAGCTATGACCTGTCATATACCAGCATTTTGTAGATTATCATTTCATGATTTCTAGAAGCATATTTTTATAGTTTTTTTTTAATGTGACAATAAGAACAGGTGATTTGTTTCTCTGTAAAAATTAAGAAGCCAAGGTAGATAATCTTACATTCAGCAACATGAGTCTATGAAACATAAGTTAGTGTTTCAGTATATTTGGAAATGATCTAGATATTCAATGAATATTTATTATTTAACTTAGCAAAACCCCAAGGATGTAAGTTATACCAAAAAGATTTGGGTAACTAATTTTTTTCTACAAACATAAAACAATCATTATTGAAGACTATAAATTTTATCCCACTAATATTTACTTAATGTACTTGTTATTAACAATTATGCTTGGATTGCTCATGAAAATTCATGAGCCATTAAACAGCTAGTCATCATCTTATTTTCCTGTTAACTATTTTTACAACACATGCATGTTAGGCAAGCAGCAAAGTTAAATACATGTTTTTCTTTTCCTGCTGTGCTTAATATACATGGAATAATGGATACTGTACTTCAACTTGCACGTTTGATTTGGGAATGAACTCCTAGGTCTTTAATTTTAAATATCTAGCAGAGATACTTTTTTGACTAGTAAACCCAGGTAGCATAAGGGTTGTATGTCTGCATTATACTTACTGTTGACAACTCTGAAGGCATGCCTATTTTTATTAAGTCAATAATGTTAAACTAATCATATACCAGAATTACCTGAGACACATGAACTTGAAAAGCATTTGGGTTAGTTTCTATATTTCTGAGAGTTTTTGGAATTCTTAATTTATGTAAGTGATTCTTTTTCTTTAAGCCAATTAAATAGTGCTCTTTTATGAATTACTGTTGACAGTACCATCCAGAGGTAGAAAAAAATATGTATACATATATACACACACACATAGATGTACGTAAACATAATGCAGAGATCATATAGATTTCATTTTAAAGTTTTAGCCATGAGACAGGCACAATAATATAAAACTCACTAATTTTTTTTTATATAGAATGAAATTTAATAAATTTCTCTATAATACACACTTCCCCAAACCACACAGCTCTCAGAGTATCATATAATGAGTTCCTTGTCACTTGCTGACCATTTGCTTTTGCAGTTATCCCAGACGGTAGTAAACCCCTGCTGATACTTGAAGAACAGGATCTCCAACATGGAGGGGGGGTTTGAATCTGAGAACGAGACAGACGGGCCTCTCAATGGTCCCTGACCCTGAGTAGCCTAACTGGGAGACATCCTCCACAGGTCAGACACTTCACACCTTC